ACAGGGCTGCGAGCGCAGACCCGCCGCTACGCCGGGGAGGTGCGGCGCAACCCCCCCTTGGGGTGCCTGGGGTGGGGCCGAGAGCGCGGCGTGCCCGATTTTTGGCGCATCTCATGGCTTCGAGGTTTCTCCACACAGTTTCTGCAGGTACCTCAGGAGCTCAGCCATGTCTGCAAGCACCCAGACCACAACCACCCTTCCCGAGACTCGGCAGTTCCCTGGAAACTGCACGCTGGACATGGCCCTGAAAACCATTGTGGATGTCTACCACCGTTACAGCATCCGGGAGGGCCAGCTTGACCTCCTCAACTTCAACGACTTCAAGACACTGTTGACTGAGCAGGCACCGACCTTCCTGCAAACTTGTGTGAGTGCCACACTTGCGTGCTGTGCTCGCGGGAGGGATGCTCTCCTCGGGCGCTTGTGGGGGGAAGAGGCTGAGGTTGCCTCCAGGGCTGCTCCTGGGGGAACGGGATGCAGTCCCCACCAAGGGCTGTGGTCCACGGAGTGGGTTTCTGTGATCAGACCCAGCTTGTCCATATGCTGTGGGACCATCCGCACTCATCCCTCCTGCCACTGCAGGGGTACAGAGCAGCCAAAGGGGCTTGGGACAAGAGCCTGTCCTTCTGGGGGTTTAAGTAGGGGCTAACTGCAAGGCAGGAGGGGCTCACAGCGATCCTGCAGCTCCCAAACTCTTCCCAGGATGTGCAAGAATAAAGCTGCCTCGGTTTCCACCAATGGGTGTGCAGCCCAGGGAGGGGGCACGCTCACACATGTCCTGTCCCCCAATTCCAGGGCAGGAACAACCATGACTACCTGAAGAAGCTGTTCAAAGAGACAGACTTAAATAAGGACAGAGAGCTGACTTTCGAGGAGTTCACCATCGTCTTGGCCAAGCTGTCCGATGACGCCCATCGCATCAGCCACGGGGATGACCGCTGTACACCAGACAAGGATTGAGTCTCAATGCATGCCCCGTGAAGAACTCACAGGGGGTTGCTTGTAGGAATTGGGCTCTGGCTGCTTTCTGTCCGCTCGGATCACTCACGCTTGTGAGACAATAAAGCATCACTTGAAGTTCATGGAGTCCTTCCTCTCTCAGCACTCCCTTTTGCATCCGTCCCCTGGTTCGGGAGGGTGGGCATCAGCCGCAGCAACCGCATGGTCCTGCTGGAGCTGTGGGATAAAGGCTTGCCTAAAGGAGGCACCCCAAAAACCCGTAAAGGAAGAGGCTTACGAGTGAGATGTGGTGACTGGGCAAGAGCTCTACTGCTCAGCGTCTGGTCCAAGCCAAGAGGGCTGGACTGATGGGCTGGGAGGGTATTAATGGCCAGAAGACCAGCACAAGACACTGCCTGAGGTCTGCAAGGGTTTTAACCACCAGCTACGACATATAGCAGTCATATTGGGGGTTTTTCCTCCTGGCAGAGGAAGTTTTCTGCATAGACTGGGAAGAGCAGAGCCAGCCTAGCTTGGGGAAGCACCTCCTGTTTTGCCCATTCTCACCCAGTTTTTCCCCTTGACAATGCCAAGTGCATCCTCTGGATGCAGAATAACCTGCTAGCAGGGAAAGATGCTTTAACACCCAACTGCAGATCACAACAGCCTTTGCCACAGGGACAAGCCAGGGTGCTCTTAGGAAAAAAAATACACACAGAAGTTGCTATTCGTATACATAGCTTCTAGTCTGTGGAAAGTTCTGAGATTTAGAGTTTTCTCTCTAAATCCCAATGAAAACTCTAATTTCAGATTTATCCCCACGCAGACAAGCCATCCAGAGTGCCCCCTCGAACCCAGCCGAATCACTTGCTACCCAGCCAAGGTGAAACACCCAGTTGGTTTCCACCTTGGACCTTTCCACCAGCAAAATATTCTCACCAAAACCCCGACAGGCTCCAGCAGGGCACTAGGATCTTGTCCCCGCCTGAGCCATCTGGGAGGCGTCTTGCAGCACCAAACTGTTTCTGGATACTAAATCCACTGTGCTCCAGCTCTTTTCCTCACCAAACGCTCCGGTACCACCAGCCCACGGGGCTCAGCGAGCAGCTGCCCCAGCACAAGCGAGAGCGACGCTTTGTGCATTGCAGCACGGGCAGGAAGGGCAAATGCAATGGCCAGATCCAACCCTGCAACCTGCCAGAGCTCCCGGAGGGCTCGGAGAGGCTCCGGCACCCTGCAGCAGTTGTGCCGTGCCTGTGCGGGCAGCAGAGCTGGCTCTCAGCTCCCTTGGAGCCGGACCAAGGTGGTGGCTTGTAGCTGTTTGATATGGCGGAGACAGATACGAAGGCTTTTGGCTCGAGCTGAAGGACTGAGAAATCCTTTCCGCTGTGGCTCCAGGATCAGAAAACCTCTAGGCTGCCCTGGCTCCCGTGCTGGCTGCTCATGCCAGGTCGCAGCTGGACCTGATGATGCTCAGAGGTGCCCAGGAAACAGGACTCCAAGCATGTCCCCTGAACCACATCTAGCAACCAGAACACATGTCCTATCCTGATCCCGGGCTAAAACCTGCTGTGGAATGCAGCAAACCGCATAGTGACAAACCCTGCTGTGCCCTCTTCCCGCAGCCGCCAGCCGCTTGCCCGTAAACGT